ATCTTCAAACCGATTTATTAATCGGATCCCGGTATCCTCACCCCCCCCCCCTAGTAACTCCACCACCCCCTCCCGTTCACAGCTAGTGAAAGGCTTAGTCGCTGCTGACACAAGTCGTGACAGTGCTAGCTTGAACCGCGCTCTCAGCACTCACTGAGAATTTTCTTTGATTGTTTCCCTAACAAAACATCATATAGGTACAATAATTGAAGGATCCTTCAAGTGTTGCGCGAAACAAACAAACAATATGAATCGAGATCGCTCCGACCGATCGAATTTGAATCGATCGGAGCGATTGGAAAACAATTCTGAGAAACAATCAATCAGACCGATTGAATTGATCGTGTCGAGTGCCTTATATGTTTCCCTTTTTTTGGGTTAGTGTGGTTAAGCATTTGAAAGACCAGATAAAAAAACACATGATGTCAGGAGAACCGATTGAATTGATCACATTGTGTTCTTGTGCTCAATCCACTCGGTTCTCAACCCTTTTGAGCAAGTGTGATTGCTCGGGTAAATTCCGTAGCTTATTGTGTAGCTGGACAAAGTTTGATATCTTTGATGACTCGATTACAAGATTCATTACCAAAGACAAAGGAGTGTGGTGTCAAAATGAATGACGAGAGCCAACAAGGCGATGATCTTGTAGAGCTACAGAGACAGACAAGGAGAGAGAGAAGGACAATTCAGATCCATGTATGTATTTGGTGGATCTTATAGTGTTTGTCCTAGGATGTGTTGAGCATTGTACGACTAGACCACTCCATGCTCGACTGTGGCCGGATCTGCTGATTCTACTGGGATAGGACAAGTTCTTTTGTTGTGACCTGTCTTGTGGCATTGGCTACATCGAGGACCGTTTTGTTCAGCTTCCTGATGCTCATGACGACAAAGATCGCGCTTGGTCTTGTTCGAAGATCCTGTAGGCCGACCACGAGATCGAATCGGAGCTGGATCACCAATGGTGGGAGTTGGACTGACAAGAATCCGGCTTAACTGACTCCACAACACGCTCTGTTGATGGGCTGGGAGAGTGTTATGTTGTGCTCGTACGAGGTTGAGTAGCGAGTCAAAGTTAGGTGGTTGGTTGTGTATAACTGGGTCAACTAAAGGCGGTTCTAGATGCCAATGAGGGTCGAAGTGGTTCACAGCCAATTTCCTTGAAGATAACATGAGATGCTTCAGGAAGTGGGCACAGGGCAATCCTTTTGATCCAGAAAGTACGTAGGTGCAGTTGTTGGTGTCATCTAAAGAAAGGGCTTTTTGATACTGCTTGTAGGTCTATTTGTGATTTGGGTTTAGAATGTTTCATAATGAATCAGGAAAGGAATTGTTGGGAGGAAACTAGACAAGAACTTACCTCTGGTAGTGCATAGTGCGAGATTTTTCTGTTGACATCAGTCCAGATTTGAGGACGAAGTCGAGATAAAGTATGAGTTCGATCAAAGGCTATACGGTGTTCTATCCTATCTCTTTGCTGTTGACAAACAAATTCCAGCTTGGTGTATACAGTTGCAAGATCACCAGTTGATGTCCAGATCCAGCCTTTGATACCAGCATGACCACCTTCAATCCGAGAGGTGACGGTGTGACCAAAATGTTTTATATCCTTTGTCCAAGCAGTTACAAACTTTTCCTTGTGAATCACCCACGTACTCTTGATGTAATTGAAAGAAGTCTCGCCAATATCAGTTCGAAGAGCCTCAAAGCGTGCTTCGAAGTCTTCGGGAGAGATCGAGTTGCAAATTTCCTGCCAGCTGCTTTGAAACGCTTTCCATTGCTCGTCTGTTAATTTCATCTTGATGTTAGCTTGAATATTTTTCTCGATATGCCATTTGCAGAGTAGATTCTTGGTGTGTGGTAGAGTTTCCTTCAGAGCGTTCATCAAGGCGAGCTCTCTATCAGTCACAACAGCCTGCAGATTTGAAAGCTTGGACCCAAAGCACAGCTTCATCTGCTCCAAAACCCATCGATAGTCGGCTTCAGTTTCTTGTCGCATTAGACCAAAGCATAGAGAGATAGACTGATGTGTTGGTGAAACTCCCATCACGTGGAGGAGTGGCATTTGAAACCTAAGACAACCAAACCACAAAAATCAGTCAGTCTCAACTCTGATTAAACTTGATTGCTGTGAAAGATCTCACCGATTGGTTTTGTAAGTTGAATCCATCAGTAGCACATCAGATGTCCAGAAGTCCGAAGCCGACTTCACACTAGCTTTGGGGGCAACAAACAGACGTAGGAGTCGGTGATTAGAATCCAGTTCATAGGTATGGAACACATCATTTGCCTTGAGGTTGTCTATCAAAGCTTCAAGTGGAGTGCGTCCATTGAGATCCAAAAGTTTTTGTTTCTTGATCATGTTGTAGATGTCCTGGCTGGTTGACAAGTTAGTGGGATCGGATGCCTTCAAGGTGCGTAGAATGAGTCGTGGAGGAACACCTGCATTTGCAAGGTTAATAACAAAGTTGTGCTGTTCTGGTGCAAGTTTACGTGAAGCTGGTATCTCAGCAAGGTTTGTAGAAGGTTCATGATTGTTGTGCTGATCATTTTTAAATTCAATCTTCCACTGATGAGTGATTTCCACACGTCGAATTGTAGCAGACCAATTGCATCCCAGAAGTTGAGTTGAGGTGGATCGAACTGCACTGACGACTTGCTGAGGTGTTCCACCATGAGAACAGGCAAAGACTCGTTTCTTTTGTCTCTTATGTTTATCAGAACAGGTGCGGGTGATTTCAACCAGTAGCCTGATCCTTTGGCATAGTTCCGCAGTGCATCTTCAGCTTCTTGTAAGGATGGGTATATAACTTCGCCAAAATCCATTTTTGAGGTGTGGTGTGTTGTTAGATGATGACAAGAGTTTTTGAGTTGTGAGCTGTGGAGTTGGATGATATGGAGCTGGGAAAAAGTTGGATAGAGCTGAGCTTTTTGGGTGAACTTCAAAAATTACAAAGATGGGAGCGTGGTTCAATCTGGCACTGTCACGACATGTGTCACCAGGCACTAAGCCTTTCACTAGCTGTGAATGGGAGGGGGGTGGTGGGGTTACTAGGGGGGGGGGGATACCGGGATCCTATTAATCAAGCCCCTATGATACGACCTGTTCTGAAAATGAAAAAGAGGGTTTGCCTTGATTTTGAACCTTTACCCCAAAGGGGACATTTGACAGCCCTAATCTTCCAAAATCCTATAGAGATGTCGAATCTGGACAATTGCTCCTTGAATATTCGAAAATTGACTAGGGCTGTATTATTCAAACCGCTATGATACGGCCTGTTCTGAAAATGAAAAAGGGGGCTTTTGTTGATTTTGGGCCTTTACCCCAAAGGGGACATTTGACAGCCCTAATCTACCAAAGTCCTATAGAGATGTCGAATCTGGGAAATTGCTCCTTGAATATTTCCAATATTGCCTAGGGCTGTATTTACACTAGCCTTCATTATTGTCCCACCAGTTAATTGTGGGACAATATTGAAGGCTACCGCTGTATGTAATGAGTAGACCATTGTTGACTCAACCACGGATCAGTGTGAGGGCCATTGAGTTCAAAGTGATAACAAGTTACATATTGTGTGACGTCTGACACCTGGTCACCTTGTTCCTCTTCCCATTATTGATTTCTTTGTGTTGGTGATTAAACATTGCTCCATGTGGAGTACATAACAAAGGTCCATGGTGAAAGATGTGCAACTGGTGAGCTTTGACCCAATTGAAGATCAGCCTTTGTAAGAAAAAATTTTTTCTGATGGAGTGTTGTTTTGTGCTTTGTGGGAGCCAATACTGCTCTTTTTGTGATTGAAGATGAAATTGCAACTTGAAGATGATGGAATTTGAGGAAATTTCATTAATGAAATTTTTCCAGCATATAGTAAAGCATATTTAAAAAAGAAGCAAAACACTAATATGGCACATCTTTGTGCCAATAGTGTGTTGTTTTGTGCTTTGCGGGAGCCAATGCTGCTCTTTTTGTGTTTGAAGATAAAATTACAACTTGAAGATGTTGGAATTTGGAGAAATTTCATTAATGAAAGTTTTCCAGCATATACTAAAGCACATTTAACAAAGAGGCAAAACACTAATATGGCACATCTTTGTGGTGATAGAGTGTTGTTTTGTGCTTTGCAGGAGCCAATACTGCTCTTTTTGTGTTTGAAGATAAAATTGCAACTTGAAGATGTTGGAATTTGGAGAAATTTCATTAATGAAAGTTTTCCAGCATATACTAAAGCACATTTAACATAGAGGCAAAACACTAATATGGCACATCTTTGTGGTGATAGAGTGTTGTTTTGTGCTTTGCGGGAGCCAATACTGCTCTTTTTGTGTTTGAAGATAAAATTACAACTTGAAGATGTTGGAATTTGGAGAAATTTCATTAATGAAAGTTTTCCAGCATATACTAAAGCACATTTAACAAAGAGGCAAAACACTAATATGGCACATCTTTGTGGTGATAGAGTGTTGCTTTGTGCTTTGCGGGAGCCAATGCTGCTCTTTTTGTGTTTGAAGATAAAATTGCAACTTGAAGATGTTGGAATTTGGAGAAATTTCATTAATGAAAGTTTTCCAGCATATACTAAAGCACATTTACCAAAAAGGCAAAACACTAATATGGCACATCTTTGTGGTGATAGAGTGTTGTTTTGTGCTTTGCGGGAGCCAATACTGCTCTTTTTGTGATTGAAGATGAAATTGCAACTTGAAGATGATGGAATGCCCCGGGTGACCAAAGGCACGACGTTTCCCGGAAGTTCCACTGAACTTGGGAGACGCGGGTAAAAGCGATGAAAAGTGTAAAGACTCGGTACCGAGTATTTACAAAGAGAGGAAGAGAAATTTACTCAGAGAGAAATTCCTCATCCCCAACGCTTTTCACAACTCACCCGCGGATCACAAGTAGGATAGAGAAGAGAAAAATTATTCAAATTTTTCATAGATTGTTATCATAGAATAGAGCTGAATAACTGACTAGTGTTATACAACAACCAGTAGATCACATGGACAACAATAGTGTTAGAAATTTCAACGAGAAGGCAAGACAAAGAATGTTAACAAGGAAGCAAGCGTCAAATCAACAGAACCAAGAAGACGATGAGAATGGAAGCGGATCTGGAGAACAGAATGTAGGAGACGGACAACTAGAACAAACAAACAAAACGATAAACCAAAAGACGGCTGAAGAGGAATTAGAGGACGATGAATTGGGAGGAAATGAGACAAGGAATGAGGAACAAACAGGAAGGAATGGAGAGGTTGGCGGAGGAACAGCAGAGAACATGATAAATATACGTAAGTCGGATAGGAAAAAAAAAAAAAAAAATAGTTTCAATTCTCCTTGTGATAGTGTGGAAAGAAAAAGCGTGATCGGGAGCGGTGAAGTGATATGAAAGTGTGATTCAATCTTACATTAATACATCCGATACACGATATCCTTACTATCAAGAAGACCCTACCCTAGCAAACTTCCCAACGAAGTCCTCCCCTCTCTACACCCAAATTCCTCCAAATTCCTTCCTTTTCTCCAAAGAAACAATAGGTTATATCCGTTCTATATAACTTCGCTAACAGGAGAGAGATACTAAAGGTGTCTGATATATTCTATAAACCACGGGGAATGGACAGGAGGCAGAATATACGCCGAGACAGAGTGTGTTAGAAGAGAACGTGATTGTTTATCCTATTGGATGCGGGTGTTTGATTATCATATTGGGTGCGGGTGTTATCGGGTGCAGTTGTGATGTGACTTGTGACTTGGATGTGGGAAAAGGACGAGAAAAGTGAATAGGAGGCAATATATCCGCCGAGATGTTGGGAGCTGGAAGAGACCATAACTAGAGACCTGAGGAGTGAGCAGAAGTGGTAGCGAGGGGTTGACTGAGTGAAGAGATAGAAGACCTGTATGATTAAGCAGGTGTGGAGGGGGTAGAAGAAATGAGCGGGCTGCGTGTTAAGATAGTGATGAAAGAACGGACGCTGACAAGAGTTGTGATTGGGTGTAACGTTTTGTGTCTTTAGCAGGGGAAGACGATGAGGAAGAGGAAAGCCCTGAGATACTGCTACGACACAACAAATGGATAAATAATATGAGGCTTGCATTCGATAGAAACGAGACCGCGAAGTTGACTATGCTACAAACTCAATACACGAGATGGTGTGGAGCACAGCAGACAGCTGAGAGAGACGTGAGTAATGTGGGGAAAGGAGTGGCGAGAATAAAAGCACTGAAGACTGACAGGGAATAAATTGTCACAGCCGATGTTTGATGAGTTCGTGTTCGAAGACATCATAGAGAAACCGGGAGAAAACCCAACAATAGAGTCTCGTGCTGAACCAGTAACATCCGTGTCAAGAACTAAGACGAAGATAGCGAGTAAGATATCGATTGGAGCCTCCCTAACTCATTATTTACCGGCCTTGTTGAAACACTTTGACGCGATTATGCGGACTCGAGATTCTCACATGACGGTGGCGATTTTTGACCCAAGATGGATCCTGCAAGACCAAGCGTTGATGTCCACAAAGAAGCTGCCAAAGCTGACTTGCTCATCGGAAACGGTGCCTTATGTTGGAATGAAGTATGATCATGAGTGGAGACTAGACTTGGCAGATTGGATGATCCGGTTCGACCACATGGTGTTGTATCATAGAGAAATATACGACAAAATTGAAGGTCAAGATCCGATAGCGGAGAAGCTAGAAGCTCATAAGAAGATAGTCCTGAAAATCCAAGCCGAGCAACATGGAGCGTGGACACCAGCGTACCGTTATGATCTAGCCCAACGTAGAAGCGTCTGGGAGCATCGTCTAGCCGGCGGAACAATGGCAGACATCAGTATTAGAAACGAGGAGGTGTTACGGTTGGCGATAAATGAGTCAGAATTTTTCAAGGACAATTGTTACCAAAACAATCCTTACGTGATTGGTGGCAGCTTACAAAATAAAAGTCCGATAGACGGGAAGACTTACAGCGCAACGGCCTCATGGGACTCAGTATCAGCCGTAGTGGAAAACCGAGTGATGGCGTCTTCAACGGCAGGCAGGATGCAACCACATCTGGCATCTACGTCAAACCTAAATGAAAATATTAATCAAAATAAGAGTCAACCCTATTATGCTCCTTATAATAAACACCAAAACCAAAATAGGAAGAATGGAGGTGGTTATGGAGATGGTGGGAATGCTTACGCGTATGGAAATAATGGTTATGGAAATCAGAACAATCAGATTAATAGTGGATGGGGGAGTGGAGGTAGTAGCCAGACCTTTCATCGTGGAAATGGAGGTCAGGGTAGAGGTAACGGGAGTGGTAGTGCAGCCTGGAGACCACGTCCAGGAATCGGTCCAGGGAGTTTTGATTGAGTGAAGAGTGCCGAGGTGGCTAAGAAGTCAAAAGAGAACACTACAAAGTAAGGGATCATGATACTTGTAGAAAATTTGTCCTTTCCTGAAAAAGAAGTCTCTTCCCCCCCCCACCCCTAATTCCATCCGTTTTTCTGTTTAATCTGTGCCTGTGCTACGAAACTTGTTTGAGATTGATCGAGATAAGTATAATAGAAACTAATCAATGATGTCTGCTTTGCGTATGTGAAATGAAACGAAGTTCCTCTCCGCCAGACTCGTCTGTGCAAATTGCCTTGCCAAATGTGAACCACAACAGCTCCCAGCGTAACCCGGAGCGAGCGAATAAGGAAGGAGAATTAGTGCAGGTCGTACACACCGAGGAGGTGTCAGCTAGTGGTGAACAGTGGCCATCGGGAATCAAGAGTGAGATGAATTTAGAGGAATGGTCGACTTTGCTGGAGAAACTAGACTTACTGGAGAAATGGAGACATGTGCTGGACGGATTGAAGAACGGATTCGACCAGGGAATACCGGAACACCGATTAGGAGAGCTGCGATGGTTTACACCCGACAACCACACATCGGCGTTAGATGCGAAACTGAAAATCATGAATAACCTGGAAAGTGAGAGGAAACAAGGCAGAATTTATGGACCTTTTACACATGAAGAAGTACACGCACGGTTTGGATTCTTCAGAACAAACCCCATGGGTAGCGTGATAAATGGTGATGGATCAAATAGGATGATAAATGACCTATCATACCCGAAGAATGGGATTGTTAATAAGAAGAGAAAAAGGAGGATAGAAGGAGACGGAGTTGAAGAAGAGGAAGACGAGACATCAATATTCGACTATGAGAGAAGGGTAACGGATGAACTTACTTACCCAATTCAAGATATGACAATCCCTTCGGTTAACTCATTTGTGGACAAAGAAGACTTTGTGACCTCCTGGGATGATTTCAACGTGGTGGTGGAATATTTCAAACTAAATATGACGGTTATTTTGTTATTGGCCCTTTTTGATTGGAAGAAAGCCTATAGGCAGGAACCTACGAAGATGTCCCAATGGCGTTATTTGATGATAAAGGACTTCAGGAATAGAATATGGGTAGATATGCGAACACCGTTTGGAGGTGTGGCGGGATGCGCGACGTTCGGTTGGTTAGCTGACGCATGGAGAGACATAATAGTTAAACTGCTGTCAGTGGATAAGGTGTTCAGATGGGTGGATGATAATATGTTTGTGAAGGTAGAAGGAAGTCACTTACAAATGGCAGACGTAATTCAGATTAGCAAAGAGCTTGGGGTGAAGTCAAATCACGAGAAATTTAATGATTTTAAGTACGAACAGAAATATTTGGGCTTTGTCTGGAATGGGAAAGATAAAACCGTTAGATTACCGGACGAGAAGTTACAAGAACGACTCCAGCAAGTTGAAGACCTATTAAAACCGGGAGAGAAGTGGAAGATGAAGGAAGCACAGAAGATAGTGGGAAGGTTAAGCCATTTGGTGTACATACTTCCGGAAATGAGTTGTTATATGAAGCACCTGAACAAGTGGTCAAGAACATGGAGAAATCCTCAAGCAACGCAACTGGTACCGACGAAGGCCATTCAGGAATTAAGAGATTGGCGAATAGCCCTATTGGACATAAAGCCCTTACAAATCACGCCAGATGTAGAGCCACTTGATGTCCAGTGGGTAGGGGATGCAAGTACTGGTTATGGGATTGGGATAGCAGTGGGTGAATATTGGACGAAATTTAAGTATAAAGATGGGTGGGAATCGAACGGAGTACAGGATGGCGACCCGAAACGGAAGATAGCCTGGGCGGAAACGATCGCCGTCCGATTGGGGTTGATTCTGCTGAAACACCTTCAACCAACACATAACCGGAAATTTGTGGTGTGGACAGATAACACTACGACTGAAGGTGTAATTAGATCAAGAAAATCTAGAGACAAGACTGTAAACGAAGAGTGGAAAACAATTCAGTTGATCTTGAAGAGTTTCGGGTGTGAAATTATAGCGAGAAGAGTGACTTCGAAAGACAATAAGGTAGACGACTTATCTAGAGGTATTTCGACCGAGTGGAATAGAGAGAAGAACATTCGGCTAGAGGTACCATTCGATCTAAAGAACCTGTTAGAGTTAGATTGAGATGGAGAATGAGAAGAAGGTTAAGAACTTTTTGATGGATGGAAATGGGTGAGCACAGAGTCGATGAACTAAAAGTTAAGAGGGAAGAAAGGTGCTGACTTTGTTTCTTAGGGAGATATGTTGGAAGGAAAATCCGATACAGATAAGACTTCTATCAGGAGGTTGGTCGCAAACGACCTTGGAGGGTTATAGTTCGGCGATAGCGAAGGTGACGAGATTTGCTGAAAGTCAGAAGAAACAGAGAAACCAGGTCCTTCCGATGAATGTTAGGTTACTGCGAGAATTCATGGAGTGGGCAGGGAAAGGGAAAGACTTGGTACTAGAATGAGAAGGATCGAAGGTGTCGAAGTCGGAAGGGCATAAGGTGACAGCTGATACGCTTGCGAAGTACATTAGTGGGATAAGGTCGTGGCACTTGTTTCACGACAAACCGTTCCCAGCCGAAAATGATCGAGTGATAAAGGCAATGCTGAAGGCGTCAAGTTTAGCAGATGCGGAGATCGCAGAAAAGAAGAAGTCGAAATCAGTGAAGCAACCGATATTGTTACGTCATCTAGGTGAATTAGTTCAAGGATTGACCACAGACAATAGGAAAGACCAGGTAGCCCTAACGATTGCTTTGGTGGCGTTCTGGGGTATGGCGAGACTGGGAGAGTTAGTACCAACAAAGAAGAATAAACGTCAGATTAAGCTAGAAGACCTGGTTATAGGAGAGGATTTGTCTTACATTAAAATAGCGTTATACGGAGCGAAGACGGCGAAGCCAGGGGTGGTACAGTGGCTGCATCTTAGACGACTACCATCCTTATTCGATCCGGTAGGAGCAATACTAAGACTTGTTAATATCTTAGACCAAAATCCAAAGGCAGAGTTGTTTAGCTTTCCTGGAGACGAGAAAACAAACGAAATATTTAAGAAGGCACAATTGATGAAGAAGTATCAGGAGAAAGGAAACTTACAGGTCACTCGTTTAGGGTTGGTGGAGCTACGATCAGGTGGAATGATAGGAAACCATTAGAAGAGATAGTGAAGACAGGAAGGTGGGAGTCAGCGGCGTATCAGGTATATTTAAGGAAGTATACAGATGAACAATACGAAGATACGCAATACGTGTGGAGAGAGTTTCATGAACCGCGATTACCACATCCAGAAGAGACAAGTACGGTTAAGAGTTGGGAGAAGAAAGGTAGAGAGGTGGAAGAAGGAGGAAGGAGGAAACGAAGGAGGACGCAAGGAAGCTTGGGTTCAGGGAAGAAGGTACGAAAAGGTTAAATTAATAGAGAGAGCGAGGGTGATCCTGTAAATAGAAAGGTTAATAAGAAATTAAACTTAAATAAGAATGTGACAAGAGAACATACAGAAAAGGAGAGGGAGGTTGGGTAGAACGAGAACCGGGAAGAACCGGTACTCAGGCCGCGACGTGGTTGGGTTCTCCGCAGGCTCCGGACGTCGAGTCCAGAGTGTGGGTAGCGGAGAACCTAACCTGTCGGCTAGTCTACAGCCCAAAAGGCCCCCCCCAAACACGTTGAGGGACTAGAATAAGGCACTCAATAAAAAGACTAACTGATATGTTAGAGGCTCAGTGAGGAAAGTGCGTAAGAAGAAATAAAGTGGTAAAAGAGCAAAAGCAACCCCAAGAAGAAGTGGAATGCCCCGGGTGACCAAAGGCACGACGTTTCCCAGAAGTTCCACTGAACTTGGGAGACGCGGGTAAAAGCGATGAAAAGTGTAAAGACTCGGTACCGAGTATTTACAAAGAGAGGAAGAGAAATTTACTAAGAGAGAAATTCCTCATCCCCAACGCTTTTCACAACTCACCCGCGGATCACAAGTAGGATAGAGAAGAGAAAAATTATTCAAATTTTTCATACCTCCCACCCACCCCGGCACCCACCTCGCGGAGAACCTAACCTGTCGGCTAGTCTACAGCCCAAAAGCCCCCCCCCCAAACACGTTGAGGGACTAGAATAAGTCACTCAATAAAAAGACTAACTGATATGTTAGAGGCTCAGTGAGGAAAGTGCGTAAGAAGAAATAAAGTGGTAAAAGAGCAAAAGCAACCCCGAGAAGAAGTGGAATTTGAGGAAATTTCATTAATGAAAGTTTCCCGGCGTATACTAAAGCACATTTAACAAAGGAGCAAAACACTGATATGGCACATCTTCGTGGCGATAGTGTGGGATTGGTGAAGTTATTTTGGGCCAGTTCCATGTGATGTAATTTTTGAAAGCCTGTGCACATGGGTTTTCCCCTTCAACTTATACAAAATTGACAACAAACAACACACTTATGGCACGAAGATGTGCCATATTAGTGTCAATAGCTGAACCGCTCCGCTGCGATCCGCTATTTGCCAATTTTTTTGTAACGGTTCAAAACCGCTACACTCTCAATCGCTTTCGATCCGCTCTAAAAAAAGACCCGCTACATGCCATATGCACTGCCAGCATTAAAGAGGTTCCCAGATGGGAATATGGGTCCTAGTGATCACATTCCCATCCTGCTACTGTTACACAGTTCCACAAATATTTCCTGAGTAGCCATTGTGATATATGTAGTCAATATTTTGAGATGTGTGTCTCAATTTGAACAAAGTTACAGCATGTATTACACATGAACTTCTTATCTAGATGAGCAGATAACTGAGCGAACCTGTATGTAGCTGATAGCTAAGGATTTACTCAGATGTTTGCACATATGTAGTGTATGCTTTATGGCTCAGATGTGCAGTGCAAGATGATTTGATGCACCATTCTTCTCTCAATGATATTCCCAGCCTAGGTCACGTTCCGACCAGGGAACCTATTTAATGCTGGCAGTGATGCAGCGCGGCGCCTCTCAGAACCGCTCGCGCCCCGCTTCATAGTTTTTCTGGTCCTCACAGCGGGCAGGTATACTATTCACAATTTTTTTTTATATTAATATGCACATTTGAAGAAATATATACACAAAGAGCAAAATACGAGAAGGAAAAAAAACAGGCAACCATGTATCTTGCCAGCCACAAATAAAAAAAAAAGAAAATTGTTACACAAGTGTAAGTTTGGACACACAACCAGAGAGTAAGAAAGATATTAAATGAGTGTAAGAAGGGAAACATAACCAGAGACACAATAGGACAGCAGACCAGAAAAGAAATAAAAAAGAAACAAGATAAGACAAGAAAACATAGAAATTAAACAAGCCAATCAAGAAACATTGATAAGTAACTTTATAAATCCTTCTTCTTCTTCTTCATGTTGGCTGCAAAGGAGGCAACATAAGCAACTGCATCCGCAAATCGCCCGATAAAAGGAATATGAGCTTGCAGCCATTGCCTGCATCCTACAGCACGTGAAATCGTCTTGGGTTTTAAAGCCCCACGTGCTGGTACGGCGATGTCAGCTGCTGATGAGAAAGTACGTTCGACACAGCACAAGGTAGCCGATATCGAGAGATAATCGCGGGCAAGGGTTGCCAGAACCGGGAATCGTTCAAGATTTTCCTAATAGAGACATATCAGTCAAATGGTACAAGGACTCAGTTGGAAAGAGAAGGAATGTAAATCTTACCTGCCACCAAGTCAGCTCTGATTGCCCGGGAGTAATTGGAACGGTTCCTTGCAAATAAACCTCGAGCTCGGCCGATCGGATAGAATCAGAAGATTGATGGGTAGCAGAGGATGTGAAGATGTCAAAGTGATCGAAGGTACTACTCGAGGCTGGAACAGGAGGAGGGGTTGAAGGAGGTGTGACAGGCCATTTGGACAACGCATGTTGAAATTTACTTTCGATGAGTTCCCTTGCCGTCTCTGAGTATTCGGGATAGTGGAGATCCAAGAACTTAAGTCGATACTTTGGATTCATAACAGTTGCCAGTAAAATTACGTCCGTTGAGGCGGATTCGTCTTGATAGACAGCGAGCTTGACCAGCATGGCATCGATCATGTCGATCAAGCTCGGGAAGTTTGAGGCATCGCGTAGTTGCTGAAGGACTTCAGTAACTCGCAAGTACTCAGCCAGGACAACGGATCCTGATGCGAAGTCACACTCCATTCGTTTGGTGGAGAAGTGGAATATCTGAAAAAGGCCATGGATAAATCAGGTTAGTTCAGTTCTGAATTGTTTCGATGGCAGATGATGAAAACTTACTTTCAAGACCTTGCACAACTCTTCAACAGCATCCCATTCCTCCATTGACATCATAGCACCTTGATAATACCTCTTCTTGCGATCGGCAATGAGGATTGAATCGATAACCTTTGATGTAAATGAAAAAGATAATGAGAAAGATTGATAAAAAAGAAATTAGAGCCAAGGGACTCACATCACGAGCTGAAACCAAGTTCGAAAACATTGCTAGGTCAATGTTCCACCTCACACCCCATCCTGCAATAGGTGCAGGACCTTCATAACCCATCTGAGCAGCTCGAGCTGCGAATTCTCCACGTCGGGCATTGCTTCGAGTTAAGAGGGCATTAATGTCTTTGAGCTGGTGTGGAGGTTGACCAATCAGTCAGCATTGATGAGATAAATGTAAAAGAATACAATAATAAAAAAGAACTTACCTTGGTGGCTCCCTGAACCACAACACACGTACTAGAAGGGACGTAATCGTACTCATGACCATCTTCTACATCCAAAGTTGAGTCGTGACAAGCATTCGATGAAGGTGGGGCATAACTGTCGTCATCTGAATCATCAGACCCAACTACTTTGGTCATGTCATCGTTGAGGACAATTGAGGGGATTGGGATCGTCGTGTTTGGAGGAGTTGTTGGTTTAATGTGACCTGCGGCTAATCCGATTGAGTTCAATCCATGCTTAACCACAAGTCCGAGCTTGTGAGCATAGCATCGGACGTGATTCTTAGATGAATCCCATTCGACCTTCATCTCGGATTCAGAAAACATCTGTTCCATCTCAATGGCCATCGTGTTATTGTTGGATCCCGAGTCGGTCGTTTGAGCTAACATGTAAAGGTTCAAAGTTCATATTAGTTAATTGAAAACATGATAATAAAAATGAGAAAGACATAGACTTATCTTGCAATGAAGGCCGTTTGAAATCAAGAATCGACCAACTGGTCGAGCGAGCAAGAATCCCATTTTATTCCAGGCCACCATTTTTAGAGTCAGGTGAACCGATCGGTAAGTCCAATTGTCATCGATGAAATTAGCCGATACTCCAATGAAGGCATATCTATTACCTTTCGTAGTCCAGACATCGTGGACAAGAGAGAACTTTCCAGCATTTCCCTATGAACAAAATTAGGGAAAGATGTCAGTAAAGTTACATAAAGCTTAGAAATATGAATGACAAAAAAGAATGGAATATAAGAGAAAAATATAATGAAAATGAAACTCACGGCAACTAAATCTATCGCAGCCGAGCTAAGATTAAGATAGAGGTCCTTAGCAATCCCAGCAGCCCAGGTTGGGGTCCTCAAATCCGCTCGTCGATTAGCCAGTTTGAATGCTGCTCTTAAAGGAGCATCATAAAACCGGTTGAATGGCAATGCATGCCATAATATCCAGATCACAAGTACTGTGTTGCATAAGTCAACATTGAAGGTCGGTTGGGAGAGAAAAACATCGAGAGTTGATTGTCCATTGGCTTCATTCGCATCTTGAGCATTATCGGCTTGTTCTTCATGCCAAGTCTTAGGCAGCTTGAAGCCAGCTGCAATGGCACGTGCTCTTCGGGGACACGCCGCTCGACCTTTAGCCCCGTCACGATGGGCGTAAAGGTTATAGTGACTATGGTGACCTCGAATGTAGACACCGTTACACATTCGACACTTGAAGCTTCAAGGGTCGTCTCCTTTCTACACACATAATGAGAGAAAAACAAATCAGAAGAAAGGAAAGAAAGAATGTAAAAGAAAATATAATGAGGAAGAGGAAAAGATTGGCTTACCTCGCCTTTGACATGAGTTGGGGGAAAGTAGTAACCTAACAAGGTGCCAACACGTGCGAGTTGAGCACGTCGAACAGCTGGAGTCTGGACAATCTCAATATCAGATTCTTGATCCACATCAATCACATTAGGAACCGTGGCCTACATTTGTTCAAAGATAAAGGTCAGTGATTGGAGCTGAGAGGGATAAGTGGTCAAGCTTACCTCAATTCTTCCTTTCCCTTTCCTTGACTTCTTGGAAGGGGGTCGAGTTAAGGCGATCGAGGCACCAGACCCACGTGGACGGCCTCAACTTTTAACCACATGAACCTTGGCCTTACGAGTGTTCTTCTTTTTGTTGGAAGGATCCGGTAAGGTAGCATCCGGTAAGCTGCCATCGTCAGAATGAATCTCAATCACTTCTTGACTACCAATACCATCGCTGGTGTCAGATTGACCACTAGAAGCTATGTAATTATCTTCTGTGTGGTCAGACTCGGTCGGTTCAAGTCCAGGAGACACGCGAAGAGAAGAAACTCGTAGATCAGGTGATAGAGCAATGAAACCAGGTTTAGGTCGGGTAGGGGTTCTCGGACGAAGAGTTGGACCAGTACTAGGGGGAGCAATACTAGCAGACAAAGGAGGAGCAAGCAAAGAATTTGGAGGACACATGATTGAGATGTTTGGTGAATGAATAAAAGATTCGGTTGGTTGGAAAGTCTAAAACAAAAGTAAATATATAAAATATATGAAATGTTTCAGTAGTATCTAAGCAAAATTTTCGAGACGGGAAAATTGGCAAGACTGGAGGTGAAATTGAACAAGAGACAACATACCTTATAAGTGAAATCCAAGACCGAAAGATCCATCAGCGTCATCAAGTAACCCATGACCCCAATTCGAGACAGCCAGCCCCACCGTGAACAGCGCTGGTGTCAGGTTGAGTCTCGAAGTGATCTAATAATCAGATCTGAAAGTGAGGTAAGATAATTTGCGAGTCAGTGACTGGAGGCAAGAATGAGTAAAACAAAGAAGAGTGTCGAAAGGCACGTACTTTAATTGGTGGTGGGCGGTAATCTTTATGAGACGAAGTTTCGATCGTGGCAGGAATCAGACTTCCTTTCAAAGATCTTGCCAGGTATCAGATATCTGCGGATCTCTGAAAGGAATCGTAAGGTGGTGTAAAGGAATCGGTTGGGAAGATATCGGTCGGAAAGGATGGGTGAGATCTGAAAGGTGTCGCCTGATATCTGCAACCCGCTACATGCGAGATCTGACAGGCTGCAGGGTACAGCGGGGCGACATCATACTAACGCCCCGCTAATTCCGCGCTCCCCTACATCGAAAAAGAATCCCGGGAAGCGCGGGCGGGGCGAAAAAACCCGCTACACCCGACCCGGAGAAGCGCAGGCGGAGCGTCCCGCTCCCCTGCCGCTCCCCTTCCGCTTTTTGCGGCGGGACGCTTCAGGCATTGTTAGTGTTTTGCTTCTTTGGTAAATGTGCTTTAGTATACGCTGGAAAACTTTCATTAATGAAATTTCTTCAAATTCCAACATCATCAAGTTGCAATTTTATCTTCAAACACAAAAAGAGCAGTATTGGCTCCCGCAAAGCACAAAACAACACTCTATCACCACAAAGATGTACCATATTAGTGTTTTGCTTCTTTGTTAAATGTGCTTTAGTATACGCTGGAAAACTTTCATTGATGAAATTTCTTCAAATTCCAACATCTTCAAGTTGCAATTTTATCTTCAAACACAAAAAGAGCAGTATTGGCTCCCGCAAAGCACAAAACAACACACTATTGGCACAAAGATGTGCCATAACAGTGTTTTGCTTCTTTGTTAAATATGCTTTACTATATGCTGGAAAAATTTCATTAATGAAATTTCCTCAAATTTCATCATCTTCAAGTTGCAATTTCATCTTCAATCACAAAAAGAGCAGTATTGGCTCCCACAAAGCACAAAACAACACTCTATCACCACAAAGATGTGCCATAGTAGTGTTTTGCTTCAGTGTTAATTGTGCTTTACTATATGCTTGAAAAAATTTCATCAATGAAATTTCCTCAAATTCCATCATCTTCAAGTTGCAATTTCATCTTCAAACACAAAAAGAGCAGTATTGGCTCCCGCAAAGCACAAAACAACACTCTATCAACACAAAGATGTGCCATAGTAGTGTTTTGCTTCTTGGTTAATTGTGCTTTAGGTTTTATTCCAAATCTTTATTTATTACCATTTTTTCAAAATCAATCATCTTCAACCTACAGTGTAATGCATTGATGCCAATGTGACTATCTCACATTGCCTACTGTGCAAACCTCCCACCAACTCTTTTATGAGACCAAAATGATGATGATGATGATGCAGGGATCATGTGCATCTATGATAATTAAGCTTGATACAGGGCTATGATGTACCTTAATGTAGATAGATTACATTCCACAAGCAATCAAGACACGCAAGCAATCATAGTAAGAGACAAGTGGAACTTATCTCTTACTGTGCGCATAATCATGTAGTATCAAACTCATCAAATACAAAGGTCTTGAAAGTAATCCAAGGCTTGGAATACATACATTTGGAACTTCAAGTGCATATCATTAATCCACGTTTCAACCCTCAAAGTCAGGCCAGGTATGATAGTCCAATCATAACTTTCAGTTTGAATGAGGGAAGGGAAAACAAAGATTTCAAATGTTTTCATGGGCCATAACACAAACTGAAGAAAAATCTGGTAATTGCTTCTCCCTCAATCACCAAACAATTAAACACTGAGTTTTTTTGGAAACAGGTTCCAGTACCCACATTCGAGAGGTAAAGAGATACTTTCACATTCTTGACTCTTGGCATCTCACAATGCGAAGCTTACCCTAGCAAAGTTGTCTTTAGGTACGTAAGTTGTTGATGGCAAGATGAAGACAGGTCATTGAGAAACATACCTGATCAGGACCCCGGTATGCTCCTATGAAGGGTACAGATCTAGAATTGTGACTTTTGAGCTCGCGCGGAGATACGACATATGGGATTAAACAGCTTTCTCTTGGATTTTACCGGTTTCTGCCTGAATTTCAGAGTTGCTAAGTCCAATACAGCTGATTAAAAAGACTAAACCTGTCTTAAAGCTATGGGTAAAGCCAGGGACAAGTTTCCGAGCGAGCTCAAAAGTCACATTTTTGGATCTGTACCCCTTATAAGAGCATACCGGGGTCCTACCTGATCCACAACATCTGGTACAATCGTCGCCTTTTGATTAGTAAAATCAAAAGGCCACGGATGAGCAACTCGAACAGGCTGTTTCCCTACGACCCTCGGTGTTCACCGGCAGGCGTAGGGAAACGGGCGCCTTGAATAATTGAAGGGCTCTCTCGATTTGCAGAGCAGGTCTGTGATGATGATCGATATACAGATCATCTTCACAGACCTGAGTGGTTAGGTCAGAATTTCCAATAACCGGTCCGCGCCAATTCGAGTTGATTAGGGTTAAGGATCAGACTTACGGCTTAAGGGGTTTTGGACGTGTTATTGTAGAAGGTTCTGGACACTCCGGTAGGGTGGCCCTGGCCTCGCATTTCAAATTAAAATTTTCACACACATAGATTTTCAGTTGCGGTCAAAATCATTATCGATTTAGGGTGTTCAAACCTCAAAATCAATTCATGCAAGTTTTGTGCAAGTTCTGTGCAAGATATGAATAGAACTTGCACGGATCTTGCACAAAACTTGCAAGAGTCGGTCTCGCACGGTTTTTGCACGGTTTGGAACACAATAACTCGGGTTGTCAAAAAAATTACTGTGCAAGATTAGTGCAAAAAATCTTGCACGGATCTTGCACGGATCTTGCACGGTTTGGAACACAATAACTCGGGTTGTCAAAAAAATTACTGTGCAAGATTAGTGCAAAAAATCTTGCACGGATCTTGCACGGATCTTGCACGTCGGTCTTGCACATTTCTTGCACAGGTTTGAGCACCCTAATTGTTTCAAGGAACCAGGAATTTATCAAGGAAACTGTCTAGATACCAACCACACTGGTAAGTTTTGATTCTTTCTCCTACCATTGGTTGAATGAAATACCAACCATCCAATTTCCTGCTTTATACTGATCTGTAGTAACTCAACACTTCGAATCGGTCATCAAGCCCATTCATAACTATTTCCCCGCGTTGAGTTACACACCGAAGTCGCTGCTTGGCCTGCTGTGTTGTCGGACTCTGAGCTACGAACTAGCAGGTCATACGGCATTCGGTGTGTTTCAGACCTTGAGGCTTTTCGTTATTTCAGAAGCTTTTCGTTAATTCCGGGGATCGTTTTCTTATTTTCAACGAAATTTCTGACGGTGCGTATTATCACCTTTGAAAAAGATATTTATCAAAAAGACTGACATTGACCTTTCACAGGTACCAACCTTCACCAAATCGAAGTGCCGAAGTTCCATCAATAAACTTTTCTCTTTTGTGTTTTGTTTCACTGGAATCGTAAGTTGACACATATGTTCGCTCTCATCTGTGGTTATCTCCAACTAACACTTGGTTCTTACAATATCCAACCAAGTTTTGCACGGCCGCATCAATCAGGACATGGGTCGTAAACGAAACCGCGCAGCCCAACGTGCGGCAGGTGTTAAGCCGGCCAATTATAAATCCAAAAAATCGCCATGTCACATCCAATACCAGAAGGGGAGGGTCAAGAAAGACGGCATTGGACGACCTTTTTATCGCTATCATCGGAAGCGTACTCAATTGAGATGTGAACTAGCCACAGAACTCGGACTTCCCCTCGATACCAAATTCATATTTAGATATCATGCTGATGATCGCATGACCGCCGATGACATGAAAGATATTGAGATATATCATGGCACCGTTGCTGTCATCAACAAATCTGACTTATCTTTGGTGATGGTGGTACGATGTACACGATTCAGAACCATGGACCCTGAGCTGCGATCTAACTTTAATAACTCGGTCTCCACGATCTTCCAACATGCTTGTGCACGAAACACATGCACCATCAATGGTGCACACAAAAAGAAATCTGAAGAGGACGACAAGCATATCTGTGGATGGATGGGGCATTGTGGATGGCGAGGTGGAACCGACAAGGATAAATCCATAGGTGAGTTCCTTTTTTTTCCTCAATGTAATGAATTGATTGTATCATTTACAAATCAATGTTTGATATAGGTGCCTATGCAGTCAATGCATTCACTGCCACGGTTATGGATCAATTGTTAACGGACCGCGAGCGGATGACTCGATTCCACTTGATTCGGGATTTCTTAGCAGGAAGGTTTGCCAGCTTATCATTGTATGTCTTCAAGACGAACATCGCCTTTGGGCTTCTCACCCAGGTCCCCGGTTTTGATCAAGAAGCCTGGCAAGATACACCAAATGGCCGGGTTTTCGCCTCAAATATGGCTGTCAGTTGTGATGGTTTTGCCAACCGCATTCATACAGACCACGATCACACCCGATACGCGTTCGGCCTATTTGGTTTGATCAATCGACTCACCGGGAGGCCATGCTCAAAAGAAGAGGCAGCGACCCTCGGTTCAGTCGAAGGTCTGTATTTTGTTGTGAAGGATTTTGGAGTAAGAATTGCTTTGTCACGTTGCAATGGTCTCTACGAAGTATTATGGGATACTAAAGTGAGTATCTCAATACACCATACTGGCTCAAGGCGAATCAGTTAATCGACTTTATTTTGTAGATTCCACATTATACCACCCGATCAGAATCGTTTGATGCAAATGGCAAGAAGGTGCCCGCTGATCAATGTATGGTTACGCAATTTGGCTCATCTTGTCAAATATCCGAACAGCTGGTTCACCGTATTCAATTGCTTCATAAGGAGAAAGCCAGTATGACACCTGCAGCGTGGGAAGAGTATAAAGCCAAGAGAGTCAAGACGTTTGAGGATGAAAATTTGGTCAAGATGGAAGTTTGTAAACGTCGCAAAGCATTACGTGCCCTGGCAGCCAGGGAAAGACGTGCTGCTAAGGTCAAGGCCTTGCTAGATATTCTTCCCAAGTAGCCCGATTTGTAATCTTTTGAAATGTTGCTATGTCCCTTTTGTCTTTGATCAAAATTTCTCAACATTTCCTTCTATCTGGGTGTGAGCCTACTAGCGTCTGTTAGGCTAGTAGAGTCAATATAAAGGTTGTAGAAAGTCTAATAACTTCTACTAAGGTTGTGTAGATCAAGATCTACAAGTGTGAACGGGTATAGACGTGGGCGTAAGAGCTTTACTTGCAATAAACAAGTAAAGACTGCAGTTAGTTGACCTTTAAACAAAGGCTTTAGCCCAGGGATTTTGGGTTAATTATTGTCTTTACAATAATTAAAAAGAAGAGCAACTGACACGCAGTTCTCAATCCTAATTTGATCCTCTTCTATTCTAAGAAAGGTCAAAGAAGGTAGTGTTAAGGTCTATTATAACACCGGGAACTTTACACTCTGACTAATAGAGATTTCCCTGTAGATTTAGAGTTTCTTATATCAGATGAATCCCAAATCTGATATGAGCAATACTCAAGGACTACTTCCTTACAAGTAATTCCACCAAATGGATATTACCAGAAATACTGATTATGGAGTCTAATCAGAAACAAAGTTGAATGAGCACACAGAATAAGCAACAAGACACAAGGTTTGAGTTTCAAGGTTCGTAGAATCAGGCCTTTAAAGTTTGGTTATTGAAAAGCAAAGTTTAAAGGTTCTAGGAAGATGAATAAAAGCAAAGTTATGTAGTTGTTGAATAATAATGTGATGATTTTCCTCTTCTCAATTTGGTTGGATTTCCAGGGTTTATATAGTCTGAACCTTGGAAATCTTTGGACTACAAGTGCGCACAAATTGTGGTTCTATGGTTAGGTTAATTACAGTAAGACAGTTACTATTGGATTATAAGTATATTTCACTTGTTACATATGTGTTACGGCTGTGAAATATATGTAGCTTTGGTTTGTATCAAAGTTATGTATCTTCACACCCTTTGGTGTAAGTTCTGCACATGTTACATATGCTAAATCATATGTAACTTGACTCTTGAAACTGAGCCTTGAGTTGTGATTGCTATTTTTAAGGTTTTTATTATAATATGTTGCCCATTGGTACTCTGGTTTAGTACTCAGGGCTGACACTGGGTCTAGAACTGCTGGGCATTGTCCAATTAGTTATGATTGGAGCCTGAAATCCTCGCCTAACTAGTTTATATTACATATATCGTGTCTATCTAGAAGTAGCAAACATTTGCTGTCAACTTGTTTTTGTTTTCCACTTATGATGACTGAAACCCGTGAGAACAAGGACAATTTTTGTTGCCTTCAGCCCTGCTGAGTGAAAACCGTGGTTAGGTGTGTATGACCCAAAATCAGAGTCAAAAGAGAATATATTAGTTATTCAAAAACAGGATTGGAGTGAAGATCAAGCTTATTACCTTAAAATGAAAACGTTTCTGTGAACTCCTAAGATTGAGGGAGACCCTTGGGATTAAGTGTGTATCACACGTCAATAGGAGTGAACGTTTCGGATATTCACTCCTATAAGCTGAGCAACCGTTTCCCAAAAAAATGCTTCTTCCACCATTTTAAAAACAAGTGAAGCCCTCGGATAATGGTGTGTATCACACATAGAGAGGAGGGAACATTTTGAATGTTCCCTCCTTAAAAGAAGCTCTCTAGATAATTTCCCAAACCGAGTGAAGCCCTCGGATTTAGGTGTGTATGACACCTAAAGAGGAGTGAACATATTGATTATTCACTCCTCAAGAAACGCTCCCTAGGTAATTCCCAAACCGAGGGAAGCCCTCGGACTTAGGTGTGTATCACACCTAAAGTGGAGTGAACATATTGATCATTCACTCCTCAAGAAACGCTTCCCAGATAATTCTCAAACCGAGTGAAGCCCTCGGATTTAGGTGTGTATCACACCTCAAGAGGAGTGAACATATTGATCATTCACTCCTCGAGAAACGCTCTCTAGGTAATTTCTAAACAGAGTGAAGCCCTCAGATATAGGTGTGTATCACACCTAAAGAGGAGTGATCATATTGATCATTCACTCCTAGAAAACAACTACAAAAGACCAACGGTTTCCCTAAACCGAGGGAAACCGTTGGATTGTGTTGTTTCACACACAAAAAGGAGTGCACTTCTCGATTATTCACTCTCACTCGCTAGTTTATTCGATTCCCATCCGAGTAAACGAGCGAGTGAAACACTTGGATTATGGTGTGTATCACACATCTTCCAGAGTGAATATTGATCATAGACCCTTGGAATATGAAGTGTAGGAGACGCTTCATATTCCAAGGGTGAATATGTTCATGATTCACCCCTAGAAAAGCTTCACCAAGCAATCAGCCCATCGTTCAACACCTTAATGTCTGACGTCTACATGTCCAAGTCTAACTATTGATAAGATATGTATTGTCTACATATCTTATTCTTGTTCATTGGCAGGCGCACCAACCAAATAAGGAGACAATTGTTAAATTGCATAAAGACAACTTACCAAAGCATTGTAAGATGCTTTGCTTGTTTTATTTCTCTCGTTCAAATTTCTCACATTTGAAATACAAAATGAATTCATTTGAAAGCTAGATATCATGTTCATTTATTTCATGGTTTGTGTATTTACAAACAGTCACTATCTGCCTCGTCAATATCACTATCTGGCTCATCACTATCGTATAAAACCACTGTATCTATTTTTGAATATGTGCCATCGTTTTGGGCAATCCAATCGCGTTGCCACTTGAGTTTCATGAATATACATCTATTGTTTTGATACAAGTTGGCCCAATCCGTAGCGATGGGTAGGCAAACTTCATGCCAAAGTGGATGCATGAAGGGGACAGGTACTTGAGCTTGCCAGTTGAGATCGAGCGATATGAAGTGACTGTTTTCAATGTACGCCATCACAATGGGATCCGCATTTGGAATATGAGACACCATGCAAGGTGGAATCAGACTGGAGTTTGCATCGTGAGGACTGTAATAGACTACTGGGCGATTAAAGGTGTTTGCTATGATGTACCCTCCCATAGGCATCGGAAACCATTTATCGGGACCGGTTTTGAGAGCTGTTGGATCAATAATTGAGGTAATATGGTTGATGTCCGTATCCACCGCGAATTTGGGTAGGTTTTTCTGGTACCAGAGGTAGTTTGCGTGTAGATGTTGAGAACACCTGTGTCACCTGTGAAAAGTGACATGTAGGCCAATAGAAATATGCGCTGTACCAAGGGCAGCCAAGCCCGTACTTTGCAGCAGCGCCCCCCAGATGACCTGAGAGCACACCTTGAGCACACTCCAAGTACCTCAAGTCATCCACCAGAGACTCAAAAAATGTTTTACATCCCCATTCAAGGCCATCTCAATCTTCTCTCAAATTTTCACTCAGTTGCAATTTTATAATCCTGGCACACTTTTTATAACTCACCCAGAGCGCTCTGGGTACCTCTCAGAGCGCTCTGAGTACCCCGCAGAGCGCTCTGAGTACCCCTCAGAGCGCTCTGGATGCCCCGAGTCAAAGTGCTCTGGCTTTACCCGGAGCACTCTACCTATGCTCCGTGCTCTGATTCATCCAGAGTTCCTCTGCCTCAGAAGACTCAACCATCACGACTTCACAAGGACATGCGACCACCAAAAACAAGCAATTGACATATCAAAGAAGTGGAATTACATATCATCATCTCCACCCTCAAAATCTGAATCCTCCAAATCCAACTCGCCAAAACCTAAACCCCACATATCGCCTTCATCAACCCCCGCCAAGATCTCCAACTCCTCAACTTGAGCCTCGTTCAGTGGCTCAGCATCAAGTATTGGAGCGTGAGCTATTTCTTTCCAGTCTTCTCGTGCTCTCCTCACCAGCCCGTTCCACTGAAGCTCAAGTGCTCTATCTTCTTCTCCTGACAGGCTACTGTAGTCAACTGTTTGATTCAGTATCTTATACATGTCAGCATCCCAGGTGATACATAATCTCGATTGACGCTGCAAGAATTGAACAAGAGTCGCATGTAAGACAACCTTGCTTTCTTCCAAACGATCTTCCTCTCTTGCTTTTTTTGATTCTGTGATTTCCATCATCCACCTGTTAGGGATCGATTCCAGGTTTGCGTCTATCACAGAGTACCCAGTCAAACCGTCAGTCATCAAGACACCATGAACCACCCAGTCCGTAGCCATCTGACCAACGTACCTTCTATACCCAGTGCGGTTCGAACGACCGATACCTTCTCATCTACAGCCAACGCCCATTTTATCATTTGCCTACATTCTCGTGCAACTCGAGAAAGCTCATCACAAGCATGTGACATGGAAAGGTACGCTTGAATTCCTTCCTGGGTTCTTGGATCAATAGCCCACGCCTCGGTTGGATGTGTGAGGTGACCAACATCCCAAAATGTATCATACACTGACAGGCTTCGTATATGTTCAAATGAATGGCATTCAATCACGACTCCATCGGCAAAACTCGTGTTGAATGTATTAACAAGTCGCTCAAAGGTTTTATACTTTGTTTTCAGGGCAGCTTGTTTCTCTCTCAACACCTTTTTCATTTTTTGCTGAGCCCGGGTACCTTGAAGATTGATGTATCTAGTCAGCCACATGAGCCAATATATCCACAAATGAATGAAATACATAGGATCATACATATACATACCTTCCCTTTCATCACTATGTTTCTGCATAGTGAAGACATCAATTTTTGCTACGTGTAGCTTTGACTTGGCCACTCGAATTCGGATCAAGCTCCGACCTTTGGGTGCTATAAAAACCAAAGAGTTAGACACTTGTAAGGCCACCAAAATGACAAATCTCACTCCTTGCACCAGGAGTATCGCGGTACTCATTGCCACCCAGCTCTTCCACAATCTCATCGATTTTTTCATTTAACACTAAGATTGACCTTGGTAAACTATCCATTTCGATTCTTTCTGCTCTTGTCAGGTCACGCCTCGCTATTCCCTGCAAAGCTTCTAGATCAAGCCTGGAGTGACCGGTTGTTTACTTGATGATAAAAAGAAGTAGATGATAAAAATAGTAGAATTGACTCACTCAGATTTTCGAAGATCTTCTTCAAGCCCCACCAACTTGGTCAGTTTCTTACTCAAAACATCAGAGTTTTCAGCAACCATGCTTTTCAGCTGACATTCCCTTTGACGGCTCCATTGTTCAATGAAGTACTCCTTTGTGTATCGTGGCTCGCGTTTTAGTAGTTCTAACTTTGTGTGGCTTTCTAAGTACAGCTTGTGTGCTACAGCCTGGCGTTTGAGAAGCCATTTAACTTCTCAGACAAAACAAAGAAATGAGTTCTGTTTGCTTTATTGTGTACAAATAAGATAGTTGTATGTACCCAAGTTGGAACGACCTGATTCATTGTGATGCTGGCCACGTAAATTCAATGCAGCAAGTCGATGGGACTTTGTTGAATACCTCAGTCCACTAACTAAAGATGCCAGCCGAGACCATATACGTTCCATTCCCTCCCCATCCGACAATCCCCAGTCCATGTTAAGACGTGGATTATACTGTAGCTGGCAACTCCATTGGTGAACAAAAGCGTGAAAGACACTTGTTCCAAACATTAAAAGTCCGGCGTCACGTTCATCCGAAAACAAATCACGCTGGAAAAGAAACAAGGTGAACAATCTTTCTATCCAAAAAAATTAATAACATACTTTTATTACACCCTTCTCCAGGTTACAGCCTATGTCATACAGTACACCGTATTTCATATCACGTTCACTTTGCTTTAGAAGCCATCCAAGCATAGCCACTGGGAAATGACCCCTGGAAGGAGTGTGTTAGATACCGGAGTAATGTAGTGGGCTTGATTACGAGAGAAGCTCACTTTTCTCCACTCTTAATTATATTAATGAACTTGATTATGTGGTCATGACGACACCCCATGCCCATCAAGCCGGTCTCGTCAAAACTACGAAAAGAATGACCTCCTCAAATGTCATCTGCTGCAGTGTGTTGGGCACTGCAGGGGTCCTGTAACATTAAAAAGGTCAATTTTACTATTGAAGACTTAGGAATTCTAACTCCCACAACGTACAATCACTTTAGTACGAGTTTTGTCCGCCGGCTGTTTAGCCATCTTATTCTCCCACCATTTAATCTCGTCGGGAGCAAGAAAGAGAGCAGGTGTTACTCCCGTTTCGCCTCTCCACACAGCACTAGTGGCTTCATGTCGCCGGTGCTGAAAATTGCCGTCTAAGCAAACGACCACGTTTGGCTCAGCAGCACGTTTTCCCAGTACTTCCGGTCCAAAAAATGGAGGACACGTTGACGCGAGAATGTCTTCAGGCGATAAACGAAGGGCCTTTGTGGTCAACTCGTCCTTCAGTCGCATCATTTCGCGAAATGCATCCACAGCCGCCGAAAAGGGCTTGCGCCAATCTAGCGACTACATATGTAATTCAACAAACCGTTAGTTTTTCATTCTGAACGTTTCAGCTCTTACTAATGAATAGAGTGATTAAATAATAAGTATATGTACAGAAGTCAAGATTCAAATAGATACAACTTGATTGTATTTATTTTCTCACCTGATTGGTTCCGGGATTTACTAGGAGTGAATGTCGAGGATCAAGAAACTCGTCTTGCGCATCCACGAAAGGAGCCAATCGAATGCTACAGTGCTTCCATACTATGTGATGGTATCTGAGCAGCCGTATTGAAAACGCGATTTGAGGGGCCTTTGCTGAGCCTCCAATATATCCCATGCGCAGGAGACGGACCACACGAGGAGTGCATTGGCACACCTTGAGAGTGATCTTTGATCGAGCTGAAAACAGTACATATCAACTATCTGGTTTGATACATAGGACAAGATAAAGAAGACTCACTTGCCCAGTCTATGGCATCAATCGATATGTCTTTTATTTTCCATGAAGCACAGTTACATGATTCATTCATGTCGTGATTCCAGAGAATAGGATCAGTCCACTGGAAAGTGGTCCGACTACATGGCATAAACGCTAAAAACATCTTTGGAAAGACGTTCTTCCAATCAGCTTCCTCGCGCAATGTCCTTTCCTGGTATGTAACACTGCGATAATATTCGGCTGGATTGACGGGAGGCCTGTCCTGTTTGTTTTCATCTGTGTTACTGATATTATCGGCGGCTATAAACTCATCGTATAATGGTTGATTGACCTGTGGATCAATGGCTGGTGTGGGTTGACCAGATCCTTCGGCAACTCCCGTCAAGGTTGAACGCCTGGCTTTCGACGCTTCTGTCTCGCGAGCTTGCCTTTCAGCGAGTTTAATTCCTGCGGCTGATTGTGGAGTTCGCTTAGCTAGCCTGGTTTGTTTCCGAGGTGGTTGGATCTCTTCCCCAGGTAAGGCCATTACGATTGAAAGTGAAAGATTGAAGTAGGAATAAGGACAATTGATTAGAATTGATCGTAGAACAATGCTATTCTCTCAGTAATTTTTCAAAGTTACTTTCATTACGATACTCTCGGTCGGTCATTTCATATTGGATAATAGTGTACCCTCATTAGTATGACATCTTTTTGGCAGATGAAGGAAGGAAACCCTAGTGACCATTGCAGTGCTACTCAGGGGTGATCTTGATTAAATCTTTCCTGATTTGAAGATAACCTGTCAATCGATAAGTCGATGTACCCAAGATGGACAATAATCGATAAGTCAATTTACCCAAGATGGACAATTATTGATCGGAAATTATCCAAGGACATTGGTTTGGAAGGACCATTGGGTTCCTTCCGAGCACCTACAAGATTGACATCAGAATGTCAAAGATGCCTCCTTTCGATTCGCCTGAAAGTATGTGGCTTATGTGAATGTGAAGTCTATCAAATGATAGGCTCGCATGATCTGGTATCTGCCTGTCTTGACCCATAAAGAAATGCAAATGACCTCCCTAAGACAAGCTTGTGTACTTGTACCGATGAACCAAAAGGTTATTACAACTACTAGACCAACATGTTTCAATAAATAGTGAGTACCAAGTTTAGTGAGTAATGAGTTGAATGTTATATCCATCAACAACCATTATCAAAGAATGAAAAAAATTGGCAAAATATAATAGTCTGGCTTGCGCTTGGTTGTTTATCATATATAAGATCATGATGTGTGAAAGGGGTTGAATTCAAAATCACACATGGTTTTCTACCAATGTTTCAACAAGATTACTACCAGAGCAACAACTTCCAACATATAGTCAGTTGAATGTTATATCTGTTGCACATTATCAGAGAAAGAGAAATAAAACAGAGTCTTGCTTACCATTCAACAAGATTACTACTAGAGCAACAACTTCCAACATATAGTCAGTTGAATGTTATATCTGTTGCACATTATCAGAGAAAGAGAAAAAAAACAGAGTCTTGCTTACCATTACGTGTACATCATATGTGCTCATATAAAGTGGTCAAATTCCAGATTTGAGTGATTCACTCCCCCCACAAAAAAAGTTGACTGATGCAAAAATACATGCTCACACATTATCAAGCAAGGTCCATTTTTGGCTTGTCTCAAAAAAAGGAAAAAGTTTTCCTCATGCAGCATTTCCTTAAAAACATGCTCAGAAATCATTAATGGGGGTTTGAGTGGTCTTCAGGCTAGCAAACCCTTGATGTATACAGAATGTAGGCCAACTCTGACTGATTCCTAATCAATTGATAAAACTGGTTATTTTGAAAAACCAAAAAGGGTTTATTTGCTACAATATAATATGTGCATTACTCTCAAGTCTAAATACCAATACAAAGGAGGCCACTAAGGGGTGTTTCTGTGAGTGATAGCTCACCCCTCAGCTATAAAAGATGTAGAACAGCTCTGACTGATCTCTAATGAAGCCTTACATCTTGATCTCATCAAAAAACAACAAAGTTTCAATTGCCAACATTCTGACCACATCACTCTCAAATAGTATAGTACTAAATAACCACTACAAATGCCACTAAGTAGTCTTTAGGTGAAGGCCAGCAGACCAATAATGTATAGTAATGTATGGAAACTATTCCGTATCCCTAATTAAGCAACACTTTTTGGTTTTATCAAAAAACAAGTAAGTCTAACATTATTCCTGCATCACTTGCAAATCGTATCAAACACCCACTACAAAGGCCACTAAGTGGTCTTCACATGAGTGCCAGCGCACCCATGATGTATGTATAGTGTAGACCAACCATCATATATCCCCAATCAAGCTTCACATCAAATAAATTATTTGCCAAAACCATTCCCGCATCACTCTCAAATAGTATCATGAGTTTTGTAAGTTCTCACAGGAGTAAAAGCTTTGGGTTTTCTGAAAACTAGGTGGGGTTATACATCATCCCAAATATACTAAGGGCACATGTAGGTTCTTCAGTGTAATGGTGCTCAGACACTCAAGTTTGATTCAAGTTTTGTATGAAAAGCTGGACCTTCTAATCTCGAGTGATTATGAATTCAGGTTTTTTTAACACTAAGTGGTTTCTGCCCACGTCTAAAAGTGATAAAACACTTCAAACACTTGATATGTATTGTGAGTAAAGCTCCACGTCACAATCAACTCGAAGCCTCCAAAAGGATATCTACTTCACCTAAATTCGACTCAAACACCCTTACCTTCCAATCATCAAATTGAAAATTCTAAAATATTCATCCATTTCTACTTCAGGCACGGACAGGAAGGGAGGAAACTCTATTATTTCCTAGACTTAGGCCCTAACTCAGTATCTCATGTATGTGCCTAAGTCCAAACCTTCCTTCCTTTGCATGAACTTGATCTACCACTAACACAACCTTACCCCAACAGTAAGCATCATGTTCTGAGTGGTGTGGGGTGGGTCTCCGGGTATTAAGATGCCGGCATGGGCTAGAAATTATGCCATAATCCTATACCCGAGAGAGCGAGAGCAAGTTCGGAGAAGTGTTGAGTAATGATATCCGCAATTCAATTATCTTTTTAAAAGAAAGAAAAGCTAGAAATCTTTCCTAGAGAAAGATAACAGAGAGAATCTATTGAAGAGAAAGGCTAGTGTGTTACTCCAAGGTGAAGTAAGGAAGAACCGGCGAAGCAGTGAAAAAGTTTTTTCATTCCTTCTGTATTTGGTTCCCAACCAAATTTGCCTCTTTGTGAAATCTCACCTTTCACAAACTTCCTCTCAAACCTTGGAGTTACACCACTACCTTTCCCCGTGCCCTTGTGAAATGGACCTCTGTGTACCTCCGCAAGCTCTGGGAACACACCCAATCTCAAGTACAGCCATGGTTTCTGGTACACGCTCCAAAAGACATATCACAAATCCACCAAAAACTTCAAAAAATTCAAAAGCTTCAAAAACTTTGAAAACTTCGAAAACTTCGAAAACTTTGACTAGCCACAATCAAAATGCCCGTAAGAAGAACACTTCATCAGCTTCTGGTACGGCGGCCGATACTTTGAATGATGAGGAAGAAATCAAAGATCCGGACTTTGAAGACGAAGATGAAGACACTCAAGAAATTCCCAACAGCTCAAAAACCATTCCAACCAAAAAAATCTTTCGCTCCAGATTTCCACAATTGGAACTTGACACTTTTGAAGAACAACTTGATCAATGGACCATAGCCAAACTTCGTGATTGCATTGTGAAGCAAAACTCTTGCCGTAGCTCAGCTCACAAAGACATCAAGGATACCGTGAAATTACTCAGAATGGATTTTGAGAAACAAGTTCTCATGGTCGCGTTGATGGCAGGTGTTCCTGAAGTAGTCATATGGAATTTAATGTGAGTTGAGGTGTTCTTTGCATTCACCAGTTCTTCATCCAGCTGACTTTTAGCGTTTGTTCCAGGGGGTTTGGGAAATATAAGGGCAAGGCAAACCCTTGGATCCGGTTTCTTTCTTTCTGTATAAAATGTCTCGGTGACAAGTGTTTGTCCCATCTGTTTCATTTCATACTACTCTTTCTATCATAATCAACTCATCTGACCTTTTATTATTTTTACCTATCAATCAATGACTACATCAAAATCATAGTACCAGAGCGCGACAACAAGGACGAATGGGTCGCTCGAAATCAGAAGATGGCTGACGAGTGGGCTCAACTGAGCAAAGACGAGCAAAACATCTTTCGCGATCCATATTTCTTCGCTCTAGCCGGCATTCCTGATTATTCTACGCATGTCATCGACACTGAAGAGACTGTAGAAGACGATCCTGCAAATGGAGTCAATGTACAGCAATTTGATGCTTCCACCACACCGGCTACAGTCCATCAACTATCAGAATCTGACAAAGAGAAGTACCAGCCTATATTTAACAAGTTGGTGAACGTTGACAAGGTTCATATGTGCCATGGAAAACCTGAACCGCTGCCATCTATCGCCACTCTTCAAAAGAGATCCCTTCTTGCTGTGAGAAAGGCTCACCAAGACGTATGTTAAATCATTTTGGATTGTCTCAAAAGTTGAAATCAAGTCTCTGAATTATGTTGCCTCCATTTGTACCATCTAGTTTGCGGTGATCTGTCAACGAAATCAAATATCTTATTACTTGACAACTGCAAGCTGTGGCGGAGTTAATGGGTGGTCGCAAACATTCTCAAATGACGTCGATTTCGCCAAGTGGGCACTTGACAAATGTCATGTACCAACCAAATTTGCCAACTATGTCCATGGAAAAGATGCGGTTCAAGAAATCAAGAAGAAGACTCCACAAGCGAGCAATGCCCGCAGAAGTCAACTAACTATGCTTCTCAATAATCTGATGAGTAAGTTTTATTCTGGTGACTCAAAGGACTTCTTAATTGAATAAGTAATTAATTATCTCTATGCAGAGGAGCACATGCCCGAGGTATTCCAAAAGTGCCCGATCCGGTCAGCTACATACAAACTAAGCGTTGGAAAGTTCAAATTGTACAGAAACCTGGAAGTTCCCTCTCATCGCAAGACCTCCTTGTTGGTCACCGAAAAGCTACTGATTCGATTGTCAAGGCCTGGATCAAAGATATTCAAGACAAGAATTTCGTACTGGAAGCATTATCTGAATCTGAGATCAATCAACAGGACGCCACTTTGCAAGAATCAGCCAACCCAGCCCTTCAAAACGATCAATCAGACCCCAATCGTAGCTCCAGCACAGAACAAACTAGGTACAAGGGCAAGAAGCGGCGCGTGGTTTCCGATTCTGAGTCTTCAGACACCAATGATGTTTAGGATCTCATATATACCACTGTTTCTCAAAATTATGTTCAAACTATTGAGTATCAGGTCTATCAAAGGGAGGTATCTTGAAATCTGTGAACGAATATAAAACGGTTGGAACCATTCATCATTTCAATCTTATTGTTTCATTAAGCTTCTTGTGTTTGATCTACCATCAAACCTTTGATGTGTATTTTGCCGACAATTTTTATATTTTTTTTACTATATGATGGTTTTATGAAATTCAGTTGAATCGATGCTGGTTTTGTTTTGTGACACCTCAAACTTCGATCAAATTTTTTCAATTTTCTTCTTGTCGTATTAAGTAAATTCATATTTCATTCACGTACATGTTATGAAATTCAATCAAATCAATGCTATCTTTGTGTGAAACACATCCAAACTCTCTATTGAGCCTTTTTCATTTCAATCTTACTGGTCGTATAATTCTATAGGTAAAATCACATTTCATTCAAAAAGACTTCATAATCAAATCAATGCTGGTCTTGTGTGAAACGAGACCAAACTCTCTCTATTGAGATCAATCAATCCATCGTATGTATATGTAAATTCATATTGCAAGTTCAGATGAATCAATAATTTTTCATCATTTGAAGGGTTTGAATTCAAGTTCTGATCAATCAATAACTTTGCATCATTTTAAATAGCAATCATTTTTCTCACATGAAGTCTAAAACGTACTTGTTCACTACTCTTTCACGTATGTGTTCATATCATATATCTTTTAACCAAAATAGTGTACCGTAGTGTACCATCAGGAAGAGGAGTTTGTACAAGTTAAGGACTACTCATACAAAGCTCACGTCATCTGGTGTACAAAGACAGGATTTGTAAAAAAACAAAGGTGTGATTTGAATTGCATGAAACGGATGAACACTACTGATATTGTATAGATTATGTTGATGTATAATGCACCGGATTTGAATCTCAAATACTGGATTTTGATATTTTATGGGGATTATTTAATTGTGATTTGAACTTGTGATTGATGTACGGTTGGTTGGCAATCGATTTGGCTGACAGACAAGAGGTAACCTCCATATACATAAGGTGATATTACGGTGTTGGGTTTGATTGGTTTGTGGTGGGAGCTAATTGGTAGAGGATGTTGGTCGATGGAACAAGAGTGATGAATTGCTTGAAAGACTGTTGTCGGTTCATTCAATCTCAAAGGGAACAATTATGTATGTAGTTGTACAATTTTGAAGACTGAGTTACTGACGGTTGTGGGGAACTCTGGATGAATCAGAGCACGGAGCATAGGTAGAGTGCTCCGGGTAAAGCCAGAGCACTTTGACTCGGGGCATCCAGAGCGCTCTGAGGGGTACTCAGAGCGCTCTGAGGGGTACTCAGAGCGCTCTGAGAGGTACCCAGAGCGCTCTGGGTGAGTTATAAAAAGTGTGCCAGGATTATAAAATTGCAACTGAGTGAAAATTTGAGAGAAGATTGAGATGGCCTTGAATGGGGATGTAAAACATTTTTTGAGTCTCTGGTGGATGACTTGGGGTACTTGGAGTGTGCTCAAGGTGTGCTCTCAGGTCATCTGGGGTGCGCTGCTGCAAAGTACGGGCTTGGCTGCCCTTGGGACAGCGCATATTTCTATTGGCTTACATGTCACTTTTCACAGGTGACACAGGTGGTTGAGAAAGCTGAGTGCGAATTGCAGATGCGTCCTGGGGTTTTAGTCCGAGTGAGAGTGCCACTGTTGAGAATGCACAGAGACCTTCTCGTGGTACATCTGTGGCCTGATTGATGAATGGGAAGAGGTATAGTGGGACATCTGTGACAAAAGACCACTTCTGAAAGAAGATGAATGAGGCTTCAGTATGCTATCGGAGGAAAACACAAGTAGGAATCAGACATACCTTCAAAACAACATCCTTGATTTCAGCTTCTGCCTTCAATTCGTCTGGTGTCAGATTTTTTTGAGCCTAGTAGATAAATTGAACAATCATAAGGGAAATGTATTATGTATTTACAAAGGGATGGAGAACTGACTTGTATCTTTGCCATGCGCCTGTTGGGTATTAAACTATCAGACTGGGATTTGGCCTGTGAGAGTTTGTCGTTTGGGGTCGAGTTGCTAGTTGGGGGATTAGTGTGCCCGGAGTTCGTGTTTCCAGAGGTGGGAGGTGATTTGTTGGGGGCGGCAGCGTTGATTCGGTGGGTAGAAGCTTGAGTGATAAGAGCTAGTGCTTTGTTTTTGCATTTGCGGCCTTTGGCACTGGTTGTTTGCTCGCTTTGATCAGTAGGTTGTTGTTTGTCTTTCCACCCACACCCCTTTGGGAGTTTGGGCTCTTTGGGAGCTTTGTTGATGGGTGCTGTTTCGGTTTTGTTGCGGTGAGAAGATCGTTTGGGAGCCAGTTAATTTGGTTGGACCTTCTTCCGTTTCTGTTTCTTTGTAGCAACGGGAGGAGCTTTTCGTTTCTTTTTGACAATCAAAGGATCGGTTTCAGGCTCAGGCGAGGGCTGGTGTTTGACTTGAGCCTGTTCAGCACAAACATCAACATCTAGTTCAATGTTTGGCAGCGGGTTGGTTTCAAGATCAAGAGGTGGAAGGTTGTCCTTGTCCGAGCTCAAATCTAAGGTGTTTGATAGGAGTATGTCAGCTCTTGACATCCATTTGAAGATAATGGAAACCAAAACTCACGATCTTGAGTAGTACTGAAATGTAGAGGTGAGGTATTCTTACGAGGTGAATCTTCTTGTAAGTGGGTCTTGTTCTTCTCCGTTTCATCGATTTCTTCCAGATCACGTAGAGTTTTGGAGATTTTGTCCTCTAATGTTTGATCTATCTCTTCGGTGTTGTCATCTACTTTTTGATCTATCTCTTTTGTGATTTGTTCTGCTGATTTACTATCTATGTGCTCTGTTCCTGGCTTCTCTCCTTTAGGGTGAGTGGGACTGGGTACCGGGTGATTTAAGTCGGGTAATGGTTGACCTTCGAATTCGGTTTCGGTGGGAATTGGAGGTGCAAGACATTCATTTGGTGCGGGAGTTGAGTTCTCCGTGTTGATAGTGGCTGATTGTCGTGATTGAATGTTTTTCTTTGTTTTTTCTGATGTTGTTTGGGTCGATGTTGACAAGGATTGATGATTGTTGGCCTCAGATGCCTGATTGACAAGGTTTGCTAATTCAATATCGCGGAGCAGTCGGGTTAACAAGGTGGTTTGGATGCTGTGTGGAAGGGCCTGCAGTGCGCCAAAGGCCTCTTCATATCGATTCGCTAGGTACACAGGTTGGTCAGGTGGTGGTGCTGGTGGCTGGGTACTTTGTGATAGCGGAATAGAAGAAGTTGGAGGAGCAGGGTTGTTGATGATTGGTAAGTGTGGTCCATGGTTATGGTGAGGATTAGTAATATCGAGATAATATTGACCGGTGCGGGTATGTCAGCCTGTAACTCTGAAGGGACAGGGTTCTTGCGAGGATGGTGACTTTCCACGTTTGGCAAGGATCTTTGCTGAATGTTTGTGGTCACCAAGACTACATTTGTAGTAGATTGAAGTAACTCGAGTGTCGTACGTTGTGATTGAGATGCCATGAGCCGAAGCATACTGATCGAGGTATGCTTTCATCGAGTCTGGGTCAAGGTATAGGTTATCAATGCTAGGAGGAGTGATTGGATTGTGAACGAGAGGAGTTGAGGTGCTGACTGTGTCAGTGGTGGTGGCCTTGATTGTTGGGTTTTTGGCTGCTTCATCCATGGTAAGGGTGAAAGGTGTGAAAACGATATAGAGAGGTTGTTGAAGGGGAGGGTTTGGAGTGAGCCAATCGGGTTCGAGAATTGAGTTTGAACCTGCAAAAGGTCATGGTTTAAGTTGTTACACGTGTCACATGTAACAAAACTCAGAACTTACTGATGATGTACGGGTGTGAAAATGGCTGGAAGGTGCTGGATTTGGTGTGTATGCTGATAGTTTGGAGTGAAATCGAGTCGGTTGGAGTGAAATTGAGGGTGCGCGACAAAAATGAGTGAGTCACTCCAATAACGGTGTGAGATTGGTTATATTTTGTTGGGTGTGGTGTGTAAGCTGATGAGATGGAGTGAATTTTACCTTGTGCGCATGCGCGCACAAGGCCTTAGGTGTTTGAGGTTACGAAAAGATGCATCTGTTACCTCTTAGATGCATCTGTGTGCTTTGGTATGGAGTCGCTGCGAGGATACAACGGGTAGTATGCTCGGGTCGGGTCCGAGTTACAGGTGCACACGAGGTGGATGATTTATAAAAACATCAAGAGTTGTTGAAGAATGAGGTTTTGGAACCTACAGGGTTTTATCAAGGCTGTACAGCTCCAGTTGGGTTAGATTCACACAAGGATGCTATTGGCATTTTTCCAAAGAAAAAAACAGCAAGAAAAAATTCAAAAGAATCATCTGAGAAGACATTGTGTTGATTTGGTTTGGCTGTTTGTTGAATGCTTGGGTGTGAATGTTTTGGGGTGATTTTCACAATAAAAATTGTTCACTGTTTTGATTTTCTTGAATATTTGTTTGTATCATATAATTATCTGCCTTGTTGTTCTTCTTGATATTGCACCCAATCCCCAAGCAAGTTGATGGTGAGATTTTTACTATATTTATTGAAATTGACTAATTGAAATCTATTGATGATGACCTGAGGCTGAATCATATCTTTTAGCTAATAAGGGCACAAAAACCTCCAAAACCCGTATGATAAACCCAATATGAAAAACCTGTTCCAACCCATTTGATTTTTGGGTTTTTGCAGGAAAATTGTAAAATTCAAACTGGTTTGGACTGGTTTTTCATATGGGTTTTTGATGTTTGTGTACCTTTAATTAAAAGGTTTACAATGCATGAGAATTGAATCACATGAATCTCCATGCAGTAAAAATTGTCATTTTAAAACAAAGTAGTGAAAAAACAATAGCTCAACTTCACTCAAGCCTCAACCACCTGACATCGGTATCCAATCTTGAGCAAACTTTATTGTGCAGCCTATGCACTTGATGAGGGGGTGTAAGGATCAAATTTCAATGATGGTTACTACAAGGGACATATTTTTTGAAATACTGTTAGTATTGAAAAATTGAGATTAGTAATCTCAGTGCGTCTCTTCTTTCATGCGCTTATGGTTTCTTTGATTACTTCATTTTTGTTTATGTAAGATTGTTAATGATGTCATTGTATTATAGTTCTATAAGATTCAATCATTGTTCATTATTATAATTCTCTTTTCTCTTATCGAACTTATACTTTAACAATCTTAATCATCTTCAGATTGTTCTCTTTCTCTCGATCAGTGTGCAGCTTAGGGCCCGTTTGGATTGTTTTCAGTTTTTATCTGATCTGAAAACCGAATTTCGATTTGCCCCTATCTCAAGGGGCACATCGAGATTGTCGTAATTCAAAAACTGAGATTACCAAACAGCCAACCAAAAGAGGTCAACAGACGTCTGTTGACCTCGTCATGATCAGTTCGCTGTTTGGTGACAACCAGGTGTGATTGTATCTCGTGTTTTCATTCGACTCTCCCTTTTGAAACGGTCATCCAGACCTTTGTTTTCTTTGTTCATCGTCTTCGATCATCAACTTCAATCTTCTTTCATCATCATTGTTCTCATACTTTTCCCTACAAAACCAAACCACCTGTACAGAATAAAACCAACTACCTTGTAATGTCATCACACAGCACCCGCTCCAACGAAATACAGCGTCGTTCTCGCCCATTTTCGAGATCACTTGACACTCATGATCACAATCAAAATGAGAGATTATTAAAATTAAAATTTATCAAACAAGTTCTTTCTATTCAAAAGCAACATTTTGCCATGTTCACCTGTTTGAGCATTGGTACTCAAATCTGTATCAGAAAACTTCTTCCACAGCTCTACAAAACACCACGCCTCACCTCTATTCTCAGTGGTCAAGCTTGGATTGATGAACTCATCAATAATCCAAACAATTCAGTTTTTCATGAGAATCTCAGCATGCGCAAACATGTCTTCTTCGAACTACGCTCTGTGCTTGAAGAAGCTGGAATTCTGTATGACTCACGTTTTATAACTGCGACTGAGAAATTAGCTCTTCTACTCTATACTATTTCAACTGGTCTCTCAAATCGCAAACTTCAGAACCGCTTTCAACGATCTGCTGATAGTGTTTCTAACTTCGTTTTTCTTTCCAAATTTTTTTATTAATTTCTTCTAATATGTTTCCTTTTGACTAGAATAATTAATCAACTGTTTAAAGGTATTTCCGGGAATGGAGAGTTACTTGAAAAATATATTTCTCTTCCTGATGCTCAAACACCACTCCCTGAAGACTTCTTGACAAATCCCAAATTCATGCCTTATTTCAAAGACTGCATTGGTGCAATTGATGGTACACACATTCCAGTCACTCCATCAGCTTCTGAATATATTCCTTTCTCTAATCGTAAAGGTCATACATCTCAAAACGTCCTTGCTGCGTGTAACTTCAACATGGAGTTTATTTATTTATTGGTTGGAGCTGAAGGTAGTATGGCTGATGGGGCTCTTTGGACTATGGCTCAAGATCGTGACCTTGAAATTCCAGCAGGAAAGTACTATCTTGGCGACGCAGGTTTTGCTCTCACCGAAACTTGTCTTGTTCCATTTCGAAAAGTCCGTTATCATTTACGAGAGTGGGAAAAAAGAGCCTTCAGGTCAGCATTCTTTTTTTATCATCCTTTTCTCTTTTTTATTCTTTCCCACCTTTTCCATCATTCCATCTTAGACCTCAAAATGCAGAAGAACTTTTCAATCTTTGGCACGCTAGTGCCCGTAACGTCATTGAGCGCATTTTTGGAGTCTGCAAGAAGCGCTTCAAGATCATGGCACACGGATGCCAATATACTATTGAGATTCAAATATCTATGGTCACAGTTATGTGTTTTATTCACAACTTCATCCGCGCAAAAGATCCAAATGGTTTAGATGAAGAATTCCCGCAATTTAGAGATGATTTCATTCCAGATCCTCAAGATTCAACTGAACCTGTCACTAAAGATCAAGATGATAACTTAGAACATTATGGTAGTACAGCTGAATGTAATAACAATGCTAAAAGACTTCGAGATTCAATTGCAGCTGCTATGTGGGCAGATTATCAGAAAGAGACAGAAAGAAAAAAAAAGGTAAATAGAACTAAACAAAGACATGGACTACCTCCCATGTATCCAGGTATCTAGATGTGTACATCAATTATATATAGTACATACTTATTTACATCATTAATCTTTATTGTCTTTATCTTATATGTATCAGTCAAAGGTTTGACCCACTTATTAGCCTTTATTTCAAGATTAATTGTTCTCATCTTACAGTTTGACTGATGTCATCATCAAAGTCCTTATCTCACCATGTCCTCAATTTAATCTGATAGTAAAGAGAATTTGTATTTGTTACAATGTTTGCTGAGCATCATACCACAAGTAGATAACAACA